GGGGGGAAACCGCTGCCCCCAAGGTGTGCGCGCCCCACAAACCTTGTGGGGTGCCGGGGGGGCATCGGTGGGCTCCAGGAGGCTGGGGGAGCTGATCGAGTGCCCCCACTGCGCCCTGCGCCGGGCCGGGCTGTGCGCTGCGGGGGGAGACAACGGTGGGGCGGAGCGGAGGCAATGGGGACGGGACCCCCGGCAATGGGGCGCCCCCCCCCTCCCCCCGTTCACCCACCTGCCGCGTGGCTGTCGGAACACGAACGCGTCCGGAACGGCTCCGCTCTGCCCGTCCCCAAACCCCCACCTCCGTCGCTTGGGGGTCGCGGTGGGGCGCGCAGAGATCCGGGACCCCCGCCGCCCCGCGCCCCCCGGAGCTGCCGGTTGTCCTCCTGCAGCCGCGCCAGGCGCTCCAGCGTCCGGCAGAGCAGCTCCAGGTACCGCAGCCCCTGAGCCGGCGGCACCGCGCCGGGGGGGGCGGCGACCCCGGTGTCGCAGCTCCTGGGATCCCCGTCGCCGTGAGCTTCAGGGCCCCCGGTGCCGCCTTCCTTGAGGCCCCCGACGCCGCGCTCCTGGGGGACCCCGTCCTGATGCTCCTCGGGGCCCCCATCGCCACGCGGCTGGCAGAACTGGCAGCGCCCCGAGCCGCGGGCTTTGGGGTCCCCAACGGCGCAGGGTTTGGGGACCCCGCAGCCGCGCTCCCTGGGGATCCAAACGCCGGAGGTTTGGGGGACCCCAACGCCGCGATCTTTGGGGACCCAAACGCCGTGGTCCGTAGGGTCCCCGAAGGCGCAGTTTTTGGGGGCGCCGTCGCCGTTCTCCTCGGGAACCCCGGCGCCGCGCTCCTTGGGGATCCCGATGCCGCGGGCTTTGGGCTCCCCGCAGTCTTTGGGGTCTCCGCCGCCGACGCTGCGCCATCTCTGCCTGCGGATGCGGCTGCGGGGCTCCCGGGGGGGGTCGGCGCCGCGTCCCCTTTGGGGTCTCCCGGCCGCGTCCCCACAGACGCCGCTCCCGGCCCCCCCCGCGCTTCGGGGCCGGCTTTCGGTGCCGCCCGTCTCCAGGCCGGAGTCCCCAGGTTCGGATCTACCGGGGGGGGCGGCGGGGCTCCAGCGGGGGTCGTCGTGCAGCCGTCGGTAAACGCTGCGGGGGGGGGCGGGGCTGCACCCCGCGCCCTCGGGGGGGCCATCGGGGGGGGGGGAGGGGGGGGGGCGTGTGGGGCCCGGTGCCACCCTATGGGGCTCCAGTGACCCCACGCGGGGGCTGCGGGTGGCTCCGTACAGCCGGGTGACCTCATGTGGGGCCTCTGGGTGGCACCAAAGAGGGTCGCCAGGAGCCGCCACACGAGGTCCCCGGTGACGTGATAGGGGGTCCCCGGGTGGCTCTACATAGGGACTCCATATAGGGGTCTCTGGGTGGCACCACGTAGGGCCTCCAGGTGACGCTGTATGGGATCCCCAGGCAGCTCCATATAGGGTCTCTGGTGCCACCACGTGGGGTCCCCAGGTGACAGCATTTAGGGTCTCTGGTGGCACCATGCAGGGTCCCCAGGTGACACCACGCAGAGTCTCCTGCTGGCTCTGCGTAGGGTCCCCAGGTGGCTCCATATGGGGTCTCCAGGTGACATTATATAGGGTCCCAGCTGCCGCCATACAAGGCCTCTGGGTGGCTCCATATGGGGTCCCCGTGTGCCACCACGTAGGGCCCCCAGGTTCTACAGGGTCCCCACGTGGCCCCACCCCACAACCACCGCCTCCCATCGCCCCCCAATCTGTGGGGCTGCACCTCTCAGGACCCCCCCCGCAACATCGCACGGCGCCCCTCCATGGGGCGGCCCTACAGCCGCACCCCCCACCGCCCCGCAGCGCCGCAGCCCTTCGCAGAACCTCCCCCCCCTCCCGCCCCACCGCCCCCCACACTCACAGCAGCTGAATCTCCTCTTCCAGACGCCGCCGTTCGCACCCCACATCTCCGGCTGCGCCCTACAGCCGCCCCATCCCCTACAGCCGCCCCATCCCCTACAGCCGCCCCATCCCATCCCCTGCGGCCCCGCAGCGCCGTTGCCCGACTGGTTCTCGACTGGTTCCCGACTGCGTGTGGGAGGGGAGGAGGGCCGCTATGGGGCGGCGGCAGCCGTGGGGTTTGGGGGCGGGGAGGGGTTTTGGGGTGGGGGGGGACGCGGCTCTAAGGGACAAAGGGCGCTTTGAGGGCGCGAATGCCAGCAATGCGGCGCCCACAGCGCGACGGGGGGGGAGCAGAAAACCCCACAGACGTGGGGGGGGAAGGGGGGGCGCTTCCCAATGCAAACCTGCCGGGTTGGGGGAGGGAGGGGGAGCAGCCAGAAAACCCCACAGATGGGGGCATGGGGGTCTGACCCGCTAAAAACCCCACAGACCGGGGGGCCGGGCCGGGAAAAACCCCATACATTGGGGTGGGGTGGGGGTCCCTCCCCACAAAAACCCCACAGATTGAAGGGGGACGGTTCCTTTTCTGTAAAGGCCCCACAGATTGGGGGGGGATGGGGGTCTTTCCCCACTGAAACCCAACCAAGAGGGGCTCCTCACCCAGGAGAAACCCCACAGGTTGAGGGGGATGGGGGTCAAAGCCCCACAGCGCACAGCAGCTTCCCCAACACCCCCCCACTGCACCCCACAACTGCCCCCACCCCACACAGCCCCACGTGAGCGCCGACGCACGGGGCTGAGCTGCCTTTAATGGGGGACAGAGCAGAGCTGGGACCCACAGCAGTGGGGCAGGGAGGCGGCATGGAAGCACAGGGGCACAGCGAGGTCCCAGGATCGGCCGCTGCTTGGGGCCCCACAGGGGTGGGAGGAACTGGAGGCACTTTGGCCCCAGAGATGTGTGGGGTGGCAGCGGCTCACAGCGGGGCCACGTAGTTCCCAGGGAACGTCCCGAATTGCTGCGTCCTCTGGGAAACTCCTGGGGGCGGCGTGAGTGGGGCTGCATTGTCCCCATCCCACCCCATTGACCCCATTGATCCCACCCCATCCCATCCCATCCCATCCCATCCCATCCCATCCCATCCCACCCCATTGATCCCATCCCA